TCAGCCTCCACATTCGCAGAGAGCGATCGCAGCCAGTGCTGCCGGATGTACGTAAGGAAATACCGTATGGAAAAGCTGTTCACGGATTGTAATGTGCTACACATGCAGAAGATACATGCTATTAGGATCGCTCTGCCTGTTCAATGATTAATAGCCCTGCTTTGCACATTAAAGACTCGCCAATCTCCAGCACATAGGAGACTCCCCCCTAATGGTGGATGGGGTTTTATTTAGGTGAATGAATGGATGGATGGACGGCTGACCAGATGGATGATACTAGTACCTACATCTTATTTGGCAAGGGCTCTGTGCCAAGGAGCTGCTTTGAATACAATAGCTTGTTTTATCCTTGTAACTCGGTGCATTATTTACATTTTATTGCTGAGTAAAGGAAAAGAGATTTGAACAGCAACAACATCAGGAGCAATAGCCAGTATGTATAAAGTGTTTATTAGGTCCCAGCTACTGTGCTAAGTACTTGCTAAATGGGACTTAACCGAATGTTCTCAGCTCTCCCATGAAGCAGGGATTAGCATCAGCAGCAGCAACAGAACCATCAACAGCATCCTCCCCATCATCGTCATCGTCATCCTCATCGTCATCGTCATCATTCCACACTTAAAGAGGAGAAGACGGAGGCCTATCAAAGGTAAGTAATTTCTCAAGGTCAAACATCTGGCAGGTGGCAGAACTGAACTTTGAAACCTTGTCTTCCTGTCTCCAATGCTCTAACCATGATACGCTGGGGCAACTGATTTACAGTAACAAGCCTAAGTTCATTGAGGATAAATGTTGAGTCTTATTAGAATGATTTAAGAATGAACCATGTGAAGTGTCTGAAGGAAACTAGAAGTGGTTCCTATGAAAAATGTGTTTTTGAAAACCTTATTATTTTGAACTAACTTTGGACTTAGTGAAGAATGGCAGAAATAGTACAGATTTCCCATTATATTCTAGCTGCCCCTGATGTTAACATACTGCATAAATACAGCAGGATGTTAAGAACCAGAATATTAATATGGGTGCCACACTCTTACCTAAAGATCTTACTCCAGTTTCACCAGTTTTTCCAAGATTGCCGTTCTTCTGAGCCGGATCCCAGCTGGGATCCCACTTTGCCCCTAGTTGCTACCTCTCCTTAGACTCTTCTGGTAACAGTTCTTTAGCCATTCCCTGTCTTTCCTGTTTTTGACACTTTGGAATAGTATCAACTAGTCATTTCCTCAGATGTCTCTTAGTTCGGGTTCATCTGACCCTTTATTTCCCTTGCGACTGGACTACGGCCATCCGTTTTTGGTGACATCCCAGATATAATGTTGTGTCCCCAGTACATCATACCAGGGGGCTCGTGATGTCAATATGTCTTATCATTTGTTTTAACAAACTAAATCTCAGTAAGTTGACAGACATGCAGCCTAGTTGATAACACACACAGACACACAGACACACACACATGCATGCACAGTAATGCAAATCTCATGACAGTTTCAACGTGTCAAGAAATTTTTCAAAACCATGAGCAAAAAAATTGCTTTCGGTCCTACCTTTCTCTCCTGTGGCTAGATTATTAGAATAGGACTGGATTGCCTAGGAGTACCCCAGGTTGACTTCTGCCTCACGGTATCCTTGTTGGCTAGGAAGCATGCTGATGGACAGAGGAATGTTGACTAGACACTCGTGTGTACATCTAAGCCTCAAAGACAAGACAAGCTTGGGTCATGCTCTAAATATTCATTCAGTGCCCCAACCTCCTGTCCCACCTGTGAGTCAGGCTTATTGGATGATGGGCCCTAGGCAGAAGAATCTTCCAGAATCCCACCATTATACTTGGCCAAATAACACAATATATATATATCTTGACTCTGTATTTTTTTAAATATTATTTATTTATTTATTTATTTGACGACAGAGATCACAAGTGGGCAAGGGGGCAGGCAGAGAGAGAGGAGGGAAGCAGGCTCCCTGCTGAGCAGAGAGCCCAATGTGGGGCTCGATCCCAGGACCCTGGAATCATGACCTGAGCTGAAGGCAGCGGTTTAACCCACTGAGCCACCCAGACACCCCTTGATTCTGTATTTTGATGGAAAGATATAAGTCCTATGAAGACAAGGGAAGTTTATTTTCTCACATCTTTTTCAGTAACACATAGTCAATTTCAAAACTGCAACTGAACGCCAAAAGAGCTCACTGTGAAAATGCTGAAACTCTATCACCCCACTCACACAGGCATAATTATGGGGGCCATAAGTAGACTTCCTTTTTATTTATTGATCTGATTTCTATAAGTTTCCTGCATTTCAACATTTTTTCTCTCATCATCCTGTTAGATTTATACTGTCTGAAAACTACAGCTTCGTTCAATTTGAAATGTGTACATTCTACAATTCAGTGACTGTGAGAAAAAAGCCTTTAATAATTAAAGTAGCATAGGTACACCCTGCTGGCTCTAAATGACTCTGGTGTTATGTTAGCCATCAATATTTCTACAGAAAACGCCTTATTCAACAAAAAAACAATGTCCTTTTTATTTCACTTACAGACACTTTCCTGATAGCATGCATTTAAAACACATAACAAAAAAATAGAGGGGAGGACACCTGGGTGACTCAGTTGTTAAGTGTCTGCCTTGGGGTCAGATCGTGACCCCAGTGTCCTGGGGTCGAGCCCCCCATCAGGCTTACTACTGGGCAAGGAGGCTGTTTCTCCCTCTCACATTCCCCCTGCTTGTGTTCCCTCTCTGTGTCTCCCTCTGTCAAATAAAAATAAAGAATCTTAAAAAAAAATAGAGGGAAAAAAAAGATCAGTTCATCTTAAAAACACCCACTTAAAAAAAACCTGCAGAAGGAGGAAAACTAGGTTAGCAACAATTTTTTATAAGTATACTTTTTGCAGTTTTTGATAACCATTTTAAGTACAATTACCATTCTGAGAAACTTTCACTAGAAATTGCTTATCAAGAGTAAAAGAATAGGGAAGATGAAGTCAGAGATGATCAGAAATTTAAAAAATAACATTAATGAATTAAATCTTAAATATTTTAATTAAATACCAGCAACTAAATAAACACTTATTTTGATGGAACTTCCTTTTTCAGTGCTTATTAAATTCCAATGACACTTTAAAAATGATAATATTCCAGAAATTAAAAACAGTAAGGAAGCATGTGAAACAACTTACTGATTTAATAAGTCTCTGAAAATCAAGACATGAAGGGACTTGAAGGGTTACGTGAGGTATAAATTGGTACAATCTTTCTGGAGGACAATCCAACACTATGTAGAAAATTTTCATGTACATACAGAATACTTCTACCCTCAGGATTCATCACAAAGAAATGGTAACACAAATATACAATAATGTATGTGGATATATCTTCACTATGGTTTTATTTGTACAAAAACATTGAAAGTGACATAAGTAACCCAAGTAGGGATTGGTTAATACATTTTAAGGCAAGTGGTTTTGAACTTTCATACATTCAATCTTGAAATACGATTCCAAGGAATCTGCTTCTAATTCTCCTTCTGTTCTAAATGTGATCTCTTGTTCATCTGACCAGAAAAGAAACCCAGAACAAAACAACAGCAGAACTACCACAACAAACCCCTTCCCAGCCATGGAATGGTGGTTCTCTCTGCCTGGTCGGTGGTACTTTCCAGGACATCTGGCCACCACCTTGCCCTCCTTGGGATCTCTAGAGCCTGAGCAACTGTCAGCCTTTACCACAGCCATCTTCACAACACCAGAGCAAAGGTGATCTTGGAGTGAGTGGAGGAAGGACCCAGCAGACCGATCTCTGGGTTTCCCTCTGGGGAGTGGGGCCTGACTTCTATCTTGGCTAAGCGGTCAATTTTTGAGGTCAGATTTTATCTGAAGATGTTTTCTGAAACCCAAAAAGAAAACACAAGTTTGGAAACCACTGCTGTAATGCCCAACACTATTATTATTATTATTATTAATTAGTTTTTAAAGGTTTTATTTTAATTCCAGTTAGTTAGCATACAGTGCTATATTAATAGTGATTCAACAATTCCGTATATCACGGGTGCTCACCACCACAAGTGCCCTCCTTAATCCCCATCACCTGTTTCACTCATCCCCACCACCCCAACCTCTCTAGTAACCATCAGCTTGTTCTCCATAGTTACGAGTCTGTTGTTACTTTTTCTTCCTTCCTTCCTTCCTTTCTTTCTTTCTTTCTTTCTTTCTTTCTTTCTTTCTTTCTTTCTTTCTTTCTTTCTTTCTTCTTTTTTAATGAAGGCTAACAAGAAAAACAAAGTGTGAATTTTAGTCACCAGGATTGAAGGTTTCATAAATTTAGAACAGAGCTACAATCTCTTATTCAAAACCCTTTGCACCAGATGAATTTTGCAAGTCAGACTCTTTTATATTTATCAGGTAGTTAATAGAGAAATATATTCTATATTATTTATCACTGCCAGGAAGGACCTGGGGCAGTAACTCAGAGTCAAATGCCTTTACATTTTGGAAGCGAAACATATAAAACGCCTGCACCAAATGAATTACATAAAAACCGTATGTTGCCTCACATCAATTTACATCAGGTTATATCAGGTTCTTCTATCACCTCTCTTGCGCTAAACTTAAAAAAAAAAAAGTAAAGAAAACTGTTGACGTCTAGAGCCTATTGGATGCTGGAGTTTTGGCAAAGGGTCTGCACGGAGACAAAGCTGGAATTGGTGAGGGGCTGGAAGTGGAGGCTTCAGTTTAGTCAGAACCCGATTGAACTGAAGCCAGCAAATGAATGTTCAATTAGAAAGGCAAAGCGTTACATGGCAAGTTCTGTACCGAAGTCAGAAATATCTCGTCAGAGATTACAAACTGGAGATTACATACTTCTTTCAGCAGTCAGTGGATATATCTACTCTGATGTCATTCTCTAAAATGTGTTTTAAAAAGGGATTATATATGGTTTAATAAGCATACAATTCTGTATTAATGTGGTGAAGTGAAAATAGGTGCACTTTTTCTAAGGAAAGATTTATTTGTTTACTTTAGAGAAAGAAAGAGAGAGAGCATGGGTGGAGGGGCAGAGTAGAGCGAGAGAGAGAGCCCCAATGCAGGGCTTATTCCCAGGACCCTGAGGTTGCGACCTAAGTGAAAACCAAGAGTCAGATGCTTAACCCACGAGCCACCCAGGCGCCCCCAAATATGTGCACTTCATATTGCTAAGCAGGCAAAGCTGACAAGAAATCAGTATTTTACCCATTATTAAATAAACAGAGATGATTGATAGAGAGATAGATTGCTTAACCATGAGTGCACACGGATTAAAAGAAATCTATGTAAAGTGAGAAATACCAAAATGTGAATTAGTCTTTACCTCAGGGTAGTGCAAATTCAGCTGATTTTTAATTTTTGCTTTCAGGATTTCTGTACTGTTATTATTATTTTTTGGAATGAAAAGCTATTTTTATGGAAAGAAAAAGCTCTTTACATTGGTAAAAATGTAATTATTTGCAATTTCTATATAATTTAGATCCTCAGGGCTCAAGCAATGCACCTAAAGGTCACAGGGTTAATTTGTAGCAAAACTGTATTTGGACTCAGGTCCTTTAACTTCCAGTTCTGTGTCCTCTCCATTTTTCCAGGCCACCTTTCAAAATGAGGCATGAGGTACAGTCCCTGTCTTAGAAAAGCTAATGACTGAGTAGAGGAGATGACAAATATAGATAGAAAGCAATGATCAACTATTACAAGATGCTATCTGCTTAAGTAACTCCTGCAAATCCTTTTGGCATCAGTGTGGGTGTGGGGGAAAGGAAACATACAAAGCTCAAATAAAAGAGAGTGAAGGATAACATTATACCACACCGATCACAAGTCTCACTGAATTTAGGACAAGAAGATTTACAAGTACAGAGAATGCTTCCTGGATAAAAGATGAATATGCTTTGAAAAGGTTAAGATCAGGGAGGGTATTTCCATCAGGACATATCCAGACTGCACGGATGATGACTGAAAGCGGGGCTAGGATGCATGTGTGCTGGAGCGCAGGGGGTACCAACCACGCACGTGGGGTGGGGCCCGATCCTGAAGGCTTCGGAAGCCTCCCGAAGAGTTACATAGGATGTGGAGAGACATGGGAGCCATGGACAACCTCACCAAGAAAACCAAGTAACAAAAACCACGTAACGGGTGTGAGTCATCCAGCAGCATGTGGGCTGGATTGACGGTGGGGAGACGGCAGTGCCAGAGGTCAGGTACAGGGCTGTGGAATTGATAATGGGCCACGCAAATGGACAAAGGATCCGAATAGGGGCTGGAAGTCAAAGGCTGAGCACGAAGATGCTAAGGTTTTGAAGAACGCCTCTGAAAACAGTAATCCCTTGGCAGAGACAGAGGATTTTAGTTAGGTTCACCATCTCCGAAGGGAGAACAAAGAATTAAAAAAAACATTAAGTGCTCCTGTTCATTAATATTAGACTCTGACCATTTAGCTTTGTGGATTTCAGTGCTGAGGCCAAGTGGCATTCAACCTTCCGATGAGCAGCATAGTTTGAGTCTGTCCTGCAAATTAACCCACGCTCCTCTCATTCCACCCAGCTATCAGACAGGGCTCGGCCCAAATTAAGGAACACAAGTCAATACCAATTAAAGGAAAACAACAATTAAGAAAAAAAAAAACACAAGCAAAAATCTTCCAAATAAGAACACTAAATCTATAGCACTTACATTAAAAGGTGGAAAAGGATCTTATGTGGCTTGAATAGCATTTGAGTGTTTGTTTGTTTGTTTGTTTTAATTTATTTGTGGAAGAGAAAGGAGAGATTGTAAGCGTAGAGAACGGACGAAAATGAAAGCAGTTGTGTCTTCCCTATGTCTGCTTGGGTATTTTATATTTTGTTTGAAGTGTTTTTTAAGAAATGATTTATGATCTGCATCCAGTCTGCCCCAACAGGGACACCTCCACTGGTCAGAGTGGCCGGTTTAGCTGGGATCCCACCGCCTCTGAGCCTTTGAATAGACAGTGCTTTGAATTTCATCTCAGGGATCAGGTCACATCCAAATCCACTTAACATTTCACTGGTATGGTTTTTGATGTCATCAGAGACCTTGATGAAATTACAATCCTATTAGTCACGATGGGGGAAGACAGGAGACCTTAGGTGGCTCATGTTCCATTCATAACAAGAAAGAGACATTTAGCATTTGTAAAGGGCATTGATTTCTGATAGTTCCTGAAGAACAAGGCTCAAGTGAAGAAATATAACCAGAAAAGACCTGAGAAAGAAAAGACAAGAAAAGGCAAAGTTGCATTTATCCAAACAGCTTAACTCTGTATACTTTTTACAACTTCGCTTGAATAAAACGAACAGCGAATTCATGTTCATGTGGGCAGGAGGAAGGGCAGTGCGGGGCAGGAAGGCAGCACCGAGCTCCGCGGAGATTCTCTTACTGAAGAATGTGGGAAATTACACTGAGCCCCTGATTGATGCCAAGGAGATGCCTCTAAACATGAAGGGTAAATGGAGGTGACACGGAAAGGGCGTTTAATCCGGGTGATAAATTGCCAGATTCCATCATGCTTAATGAGCCTCATCAACGCATAGCTAGACTCAAGAAAATACTAAGACCCCTTTCAGAGACCAGTATAAACAAATTAGAAGAATTAATAATAAAAATCCTATTAATGTGTACGCAATTTCAAGACGTTCATGAACTCAATTTAAAATGTCTGGTTAATGTATTTTTAGCATTTTTTTTTTTTAAATGCCAGGTCATCAAAATGGATTCATTCTTTGGTTTCTTTTACGCACGTATGTCCTGTGTTAGGACTTAAAGGATCACATTCCTTTTGGTTAACTCCTCTCCAGGAAGAGGCCTGCTTAGCAGTTCAGGGATAGGACAGAGTGTCGCAGGCCCTATGTTGCTTAAGATGCTTATTGACCTGAAAGTAACAAATGAGATTCATTCAAGTGAATTTGCTCAGCCTCATAATATGCCTCCTAACCAAGCAGAGACTACAGAAACATATTAGATTCTCAGTCACCAGGCTGCAAAACACAAATCTTTCAATTCTCAATACAGTCTCAGGCAGGAAACAAGAAGTATCTGAAAATATCCATGCATGTATGCAGTTCAAAACAGAAGCAGTTGTCTCTCATCCGCTAAGATCCCTGGGCCCATGCAAGAGAAAATCTGGTCTTGCATCAACAAGTATTTGTACAATACACCATCAGTCATGTATTAGAAATCAGGCTCTCACTTCCAGCCATTAGGATTCTTTTAAGCCATCATTTAAGAAAGAACCTCAATACTCAAGCATATAATCAAAGCATGTGGGAGGTGAGAAAGAAGGTAGTCCCTGTTTTGTAGTTAAATCCCTAGGCCAGAAGACACAATCAGACATCTGTGCTTAGTTAGGTTTCCATGAAAATGAATGCCATGTGCTCCTTAATGCAAAGTGAAATAACATAACTCATGGTTTTCGAATGGCACCAAGGGGCATGGAGATGGCTGCCAATGATGTCCGCTTCAGAAGTCCAGAACAAACCCGTTTATAATATTACCAGATAATGCACATAGTGTCTGGCACACAGTGAGCACTCAATAAATATTTCTTCAGATCTGAATGGAAGAGTGACTCCTTTTATATACAAGCTGTTATATAAAGTTTGTACATCCTCGATTTTACTATAAAAATAATATATGTTCTCATGCACATCTGCTTCAACCTCTGAATCAATAAAGACTGAGAGCCAATCCTCCTTCTCAAGCATTTTCCCCCACTGGGCTGCTAATGTGCTGGATCCCCCAGGCGCCTTGCATCCAAACCTCTAAGTATTTCTCTGGTGGGCTTCCTTGGGCTTCCTGGGCTGTCCCAATCCTGTTCTTTTTCTTTTACAGTTATTCACAGAGTATTGAGTTTCAGGACTTCAACAAATGTCTCTGTACAGCCCTCTCCTTAAATAATGCAAACATACCCTCCCACTAGATTTTATAAGGGACAAAGAGTGGAATTAATCTAAAGCCTCTTTCCTCAGTGTTTATGCAACAGAGCTGAGTAGGAAATGAATGCATACCTTCAAGGTTAATGATTTTAAGGCCAAATGAGTGAGCAGGCCCAGAAGACCCTAACCAGAGAGGAAAGAGTGTCGTGTTGCTGCTAGCAAAGGAGCGGAGATTAGAGTTTGCCCTGAAGGGTGAGTAGGATTCATGTATGGAGGACTCAGGGAGGAGAGACTCTCAGGAAGGTCAACTACTATGAGCAAGGATGAGGATGGGAAAGTATGTGGCTGGTTTGGAGTCAATGAAGAGACTGCTGTGTCTGTCATGAGGGTTTCATTACAGGAACAATGAGGGGGATGGTGGGCAGGCAGGTGAACCAACCATGGGGTCCTTCAAATGCCAGATTAAGGAATGAGATGTTATCCCATAGAAAAAAAGGAAGTGGGGCGCCTGGGCGGCTCAGTGGGTTAAAGCCTCTGCCTTCGGCTCGGGTCGTGATCCCGGGGTCCTGGGATCGAGCCCCACATGGGGCTCTCTGCTCGGCTGGGAGCCTGCTTCCCTTCCTCTCTCTCTGCCTGCCTCTCTGCCTACCTGTGATCTCTGTCAAATAAATAAATAAAATAAAATCTTTAAAAAAAAAAAAAGAAAAAAAGGAAGTAACTGGGATTTTTAGCTCAGAAGAGACTTATTAAAAATGGTCTCCTGCCCTTACTTCCTTTGACTAGCGAACACTTTCTCAGTATCTCATCATAGCATGCTTGTTCCAAAACCCTTCTTTCTTTTCCCCATGTCCAGGGGCTTGGCCATCTCTGTTAGTGGCAATAACATCCTTCTTGGATTCAAAGGCTGATGATGTCTTTGGAAGTATCTTTGATCAGCTTGTCTCCAACATCAATGCCAGGTGAAGAATCAATGACCAAAATTACCTTGGGAATGCTTTCAGTAAGTACATATTCCTAGACCCTATTCTAGACCACCTGAATCAGAAAAGATTTGGGGACCCAGATCACTACCTGTGATATGATGAATGAAATATTTAATCTGGCTACTCCTCTTCCTTTCAATGACCCCATTTCCCTTTATGACCACTGCCATCGTTGAAACTCAGAACTTCCTCATCCATGCATGATCAGTTACTCCCACAGGCACCATCTTGGTTGCAACTTGCCCTCCAATATCAGCATCTTCTTTGTAGATCTGGGCTCTGGGAAGCCAACATAATTGTAGTTCAGACCAGTGATGCCCAGATGTCTCAGTGGTAATGACTGATGATGCAAATGCTTTCCCATTAGGGTGGGAAAGCAGTTAAAAAACCTTCTGGGGAGCTCAAATCAAGATCTGATGCCTCACTCACTCCCTCTATGTGCATATAGGCCATTCTACTGGCCCTTGGCAGTGATCCCTCACCCTTTACACAAGGCCCTCTCCAAACAACTCCTCAGTGAAGATAGCTCCCGAGGACAGCCCTCTTATGGTGGCTTTCACAACCTAGTTTTGAGAACAATGCAAGTTACACAGTGAGTAGCAGCCATGTTATGATTTCAAAAGTCTTCTCCTCACTTATCCCAGCCTGCTACACCCCCATGAGCTTCTAAAGTATCTCTAAAGTATCTTTAAACCATGAATGGTTTAGCTCAATGCCCCCAAATGAGGCATTCATTCAACTGACTTAAGATGTGCTCTCTTTAAATATGTTACATTTCCCAGAACTCTTTTAAGACCTGTTACTTAACATATAATGAGTGGTTGACTCTTGAACAATATGGGGCTTAGGATCACCAATTCTCTGTACAGTCAAAAATCTGTGCAGAACTTTTGACTCTGTAAAAATGTAATTACTAAAAGCCTAGGGTTGACCAGAAGCCTTACCATTAACATAAACTCCTGTTTAGCAAATATTTTACATGTTATATTTATTATATACTGTATTTTATAAGAAAGTAAGCTAGAGAAGAGAGTATTAAGAAAATTGTAAGGATGGGGTGCCTGGGTGGCTCAGTGGGTTAAGCCCCTGTTTTAGGCTCAGGTCATGATCTCAGGGTCCTGGGATCGAGCCCCTCATCAGGCTCTCTACACAGTGGGGAGCCTGCTTCCCCCTCTCTGTCTGCCTCTCTGCCTGCTTGTGATCTCTCTGTCAAATAAATAAATAAAATCTTTAAAAAAAGAAAAAAAAAGAAAATCATAAGGAAAAGAGGATACATTTACAGTACAGTACTATATTTATATATAAAAAACAATTCCACATACAACTGAACTCATGCAGGTCAAACCTATGTTGTTCAAGGGTCCACCAGAAGTTAAAAGAAAAGTTTCTGGAATCAGATTCTCCTGAGTTCTAGTTCTAATTCTCTGCTTACTTTGTGTGATTTTGGTAAATTATGTAAACATTCCAAGTCTCAGTTTCCTCATGTAGAAAATGGGAATGATAAAAATCCCTAGAATATAGGATTGTTGAGATCATTTAGTGTACATATTTGTCAAAAGGCCCAGCACATTGATTTTGTATCCTGCTACATTACTGAATTGCTGTATGAGTTCAGTAGTTTGGGGGAGGAGTCTTTTGGGTTTTCCATATAAAGTATCATGTCATCTGTGAAGAGACAGAGTTTGATTTCTTCTTCGCCAATTTGAATACCTTTTATTTCTTTTTGTTGTCTGATTACTGTCGCTAGGACTTCTAGTACTATGTTGAACAACAGTGGCTGAGAGTGGACATCCTTGTCCTGTTCTTTTTTTTTTTTTAAAGATTTTATTTTTTATTTGACAGAGATCACACGTAGGTAGCAAGGCAGGCAGAGAGAGAGCGGGTGGGGAAGCAGGCTCCCTGCTGAGCAGAGAGCCCGATGCGGGGCTCGATCCCAGGACCCTGAGGTCATGACCTGAGCCAAAGGCAGAGGCTTAACCCACTGAGCCACCCAGGCGCCCCCCCTTGTCCTGTTCTGGATCTCAAAGGGAAGGCTGTCAGCTTTTCCTCATCGAGGATGATATTCGGTATGGGTTCTTCACAGATAGACATAATAAAGTTGAGGAATGTTGCCTCTATCCCTATACTTTGAATCCTTTTAATCAGGAATGGATGCTGTATCTTGTCAAATGCTTTTTCTGCATCAAAATCAATGTACAGAAATCAGTTGCTTTCTTATGCACTAATAATGAAAATATAGAAAGGGAAATTAGAGAATTGATTCCATTTACTATAGCACCAATAACCATAAGATACCTGGGAATAAACTTAACCAAAGAGGTAAAGATCTGAACTCAAGGAACTACAGAACACTCATG